GTGGCAAAGGGAAAAATGCGACAGCTCCTGTAGGAGCTGTTGTCCTAAGTGGAAACCCAAGTAAAGGTGACAAAGGGACCAAAAAGGTAGATGGCGCAGATGTGGTGGGTGCTGTTGTCCTAGGTGGAAAAGCAGGTAAAGCACCTAAAGGTGGCAAAGGAAAAAATGCAACAGCTCCTGTAGGAGCTGTTGTCCTAGCGGGAAAAGCAGGTAAAGCGCCTAAAGGTGGCAAAGGGAAAAATGCGACAGCTCCTGTAGGAGCTGTTGTCCTAAGTGGAAAACCAAGGAAAGGTGACAAAGCGATCAAAAAGGTAGATGGCGCAGATGTTGTGGGTGCTGTTGTCCTAGGTACGAAAGAAACTAAATCAACTAAAACAAGCAAAGTGAAAGGAAAATCGTCTGTCGTCAAAGCTGTTGGTGCTGGTGGAGAAGTAGTAGAGGCACCAAAACAAACGAAAGCGATACAAACGCCTGGAATTGTTGCAGATGCTGTACCTAAAACACGAGGTGAGTTTGAGCGCTTGATATATTGTCAACGCAATACTTGATGCTTGAATTGAAAAGACAGTGAAGATGTAGGTTTTGTAATGTTGGATGCTTCTTATGTTGACATAAGTCTTACAGGAATTTTCTTGACATTGGGACCCTAAAGACTCTGAACGATGGGGATTATCAGAAATGTAGGTTATTATAGTGCGTTGTTTTTTTGAACGTGCATTAAATACTTTAATTAACTTGTTAATGTCTGTCAAATGGAAATCTGTATGTCTGAAAGCAGGAAAAAAGTTTCTTTGAGTGTGCAATCTATTTGGGATAAAATATTTCTTTTTTACAATGGTGGTGTGAATTAGAGTTTTTTTTTTTTAATTTTTTTCATCTTGAAGATGGTTTATATGTGGCACAATCATTACCGAGCAATGGCTTATCAAGTACTGATAGTGTTCCAAAGGTTTCAACGAACCAACCATCTAGTGATGTTCCCAAAACAGTCGAACCTGTAGTAGCTACTGGCAAAGGAAAGAAAAGGAAGAGTAAGATTAGTATTCCAAAATTGATTAGAAAGAGCGGCCAATCACAAGGTAAAAAAGTTATAAAATTACCGCGTACTGGTAAAATGATTGTCTTAGGTGAACGTTTTGGTGTTTCTGATCTGGAATCTAATAGAATACGTGATATAACAATTGATTCAATGCGTCAGAATTATCTGAATACAGATATCGATTTACGACAGCTTAGTTTACTCTATAGTCTTCTTCGTGGACATGTATTCAAAGGACGATTATCATCGAGGAAATCGGAATCATCTGGTTGTGCACCACAGGATGTCTATGTGAATTATGTTTATGAGCATGATATACACAATCAAGTGTTTAATTCCTCGTTTCAAGATCCTAATTCATTTGTTATTCAAAACCTTCAATCTGATATTGCTCGTTTCGCAGCAGAAGAACTTTACAAACGAAATTTAGTTTCTGATGTTAAAGATAAAGCACATTTAATAAGAATAATGGATGTTAGCAAACAATATAAAGATCTTGCGACACTTCGCTTTTATGTTTCAATCATTGTGAGAGAAAGTTCAATTCCAATTATTAGTGATGTTTTCAAAGTGGTCTTTACAAAATTACAAAATGAACGTTTTGCAACATCAAATAAAAAAATTGACTGGGGACGGATGATGCTTCTTCCAATAACAAAATAAGCAGCAACAACAACAACATCAATAACAAACAAATGAACTTATTTTGCCCTATTTTTTTCGTTCTGCTCTTATAGTCCCATTTTATTAAAAAGAAAAGTTAGACTCTACTGGTCATCTCACAATAAAAATAAATCATATTTATTGTTTCTTTTTTTTCTCGTTCAATAAATGGTATGCGTTCCTCTCTCATTATGACATATGTTTATATTTGACATACAAAAAGAGCACTAATGCAAATATGAAAAAGTTATAAAAACGCGCGTATTGCCTATATATTTACTTGTGACACGCAAGTCAAAATATCTAATGCTCAGGATGTTGATAAGAAAAAGGAAACAGAAATTGACAGTTTAATATTGAACTAAAATCAACTATAGCATTTAATATAAATCTAGTAAAAAAAAGGCCATATTCGACTAGAAAAAAATCAGTTATGCATACACTAATATTCTTCTTAATATTTCTTACAAATTATCTACTATACAAATCTCAATCATATCCAATGCGAACACATAAAGCAGTTTTACTTTGTCTTAATTTTCAATGGCAACCACACAACAGGCGTTCAATACAAATTGTTAATGATATAATTCCTAAATCTCAAGCTAGTACTGGTTACATTTTATCTCGTTATGCAATAGAAACGATTACACCTAATATATCATCAATTCATTATACAGAAATAAGATCTTTTGAGTATACAATTTGTCGAAATAAATTTAAAAGTAATTACTAATGTTTGTTTCTTTTTTTACATAATTTATTAATTCTTATATTGATTTATTTCTGCAGACTTATGGATCATATTAAATAATCTATTAGATAATGATAATATAACAATTGACAAACATATTCAAGTAGAAGAAGGTTTAAATGATATTATAAGATTAAATATAAATAATAAAACTGAGAAAATAAAGTTAACATGTAGAACAGAATATTTCAATAATGATTCGACAGACATACAACGTTATCGATCAAATAAAAAAAATTTATTTGGTATCATATTTCTTATAACATGTGTTGCTCTTACATTAATACTTTGTATTGGATGGTTTATTGTTATATATTATCGTCAATATGAAAGACGTCAAATAAAAAATAAACTTAAAAAAACACTTGCACATTCAATTCAACAAATACTTAATAAAACACCAATTATTATATTTAATTCAAAGAATAAAACTAATGATTATATTGATGATGATCCAATGTGTGCTATTTGTTTAGAATCATTTATTGATAATGAAAAAATTCGAAAACTTAGTAAGATAAAATAAATATATATTTACTGAAAAATTTATTTTATTTGTTTTTAAAGTATGTTTACATTATTTCCATATTGGATGTATTGATCCATGGTTATTAGCTAATCAAAGTTGTCCATTATGTAATCGAAATATTTTAAAAGATTATGTCCCATCAATATCAGCGAACATTGCATCAACTAATGAAGAACTTAACAATCAAGAATCAAGCTCTACAAATACATCGAATTTTATTAATAATAGACCTTTTATTGAATTGTAAAATTTAAATTGATGAAAAAACAAATTAAAAAACAAAGACTTATTTATTTAGATTTATATATGAGAAATAGAAGTTTCATCAAATTAATGTTGCTTTTACCTATTCAATAATACGGTCAAAGAGAAAAAAAACAAGGCTTAATATGTTGTTCAGTCTCCTTTCCTCAGCACACGGTCACTAAACCAATCAAACGGTCCTACATAAAGAGTAACATATTTCTTCTAATTAAAGATGTGTGAGATCAAGTTGTTTTAGTCCCAATCTAAAGAAAATTAGTTCAGAATTTATTCGTATCACATCTAAAAAAAAATCCTTCAATAACTCGTTTTCTGATTTAGTTAGCCGCGATAATTAGTATTTTTTTTTTGAGTCATCCCAGTTGAATTATGTTCTCTTTGATGATTTATAAGATAATTCACTTAGAACCATAGAATATTTAACTATAATTTTTAGTTTCACCGATAGTTGCAGTAACTATATTCAGCAACAGGGCTAGTCCGACCGTGGTGAAAGAATCGAAGGTGTGAAACACTTCTAATACATGGAAGTTGTATTTATTTTTACCAGTTAAAAATTCGAATACTAAACATGCTGTAGAATTTTGGTAACTTACTTCCAAGATATGGAAGTAAATGAAGATTTTCTCAAACAAGCTATAAAATCTACATAAATGACATCATTTTTCAAAAAAACGTAAGACTTAATTCTGAGAAATTTTGAATAATCATTCTGTCTGTGAACCATGTCTTTAATCAATAGGAAACATGTGACAGCTGAACCAATTCTTTTTTTGACAACTATGTGCATTGATCAATAAGCTCAGTTATCAAATACCTGATTTTCACATAACCGTAAGTTTCTAACAGGTCCATTTCGTATGAAGCAGTTTTCTAGAAATAACCACCTCATGTATTAGCAGTTTCGAAAACTACTATACTGATGTTACAGAGTAGAGTCCATTGTATCCAAAATTTTCAGACCTGAACCTAACGTACTCTAACCAGGGGCCGGGTCATCCCTGTTCAATAGATAAAAAGTGTATGATTTGAGTTTTGCAAACAGTTTATTTTTTCTGTCTGATTTACGTGTTCGTTTTAACTGCATACTTTTGATGACTCATAACATTTGATTCAGACAGTAAAATATTGGTATGATAGTTCCATGACTCAAACTACTAGTATATATTCACTATTCGTCATATAATGATTATCATTGAAAAAAATAATGGATTTTTTTTTGCAATATTGTTTTCATTACATAGGCTGTCAGATTGTATTTTATCTTTAGTTGTTTTTCGATTTTTACGAAACTATTTGAATCAATAAAAGATGAATCATAATGAATAATATAAAATTTACATACACTTTCATATAGTAATGAAAATCATTTTTATTTATTCGAAACAAAGATACATTGTTTTCTGGAAAATAAAAATTTTTATATAATTCATCTTTTAATCTGTCCAAGTTATTGACCGTCTAATGAAATGACCACAAGAAATAAATATCAAAAAGTTATTTGAATATAAAAAGTATATAGTAATGATGTGTATAGTGTGAAGAACTTCATTTTTATCAGAAAAGTATTTTTATATAGAAAATGCATTTTCTGATTCAGACATGATTGTTTTTGTATACTTTACTGATAGCAATGAATTTCCTGATCTCAAATTAGACATTGTACTGCTTCAACTGTATGTACTTAAAAAAAATAAATTTTCTTATACATCATTACCATTTAATATAGATCGTTGCAGTAGTATTCTCTAGATTTAATTGATTATCAATGCTTGTTAATTTTTGTTTACTGATAGACTGTTTGATATAATATTAATTATGTTCCGATATAGTATATATTTTTCCAATGAAAAATGATGCTATTATCACCTGTCGTTTTAAACGAATCAATTCTTTTATCTCAACGTCATTAATATATATTTGTTCTTGTTAACGACCTTGTTCTTTGACTGTCGCATTTTAATTTATCCTTGAACATTCATTTTATATTCATCGGCAACAAATTGTAACACCTGGTTTACATTTATGTAAATAAATTCTCATAATTTTCTTTTTTTTTTCCCTACAGATGAGAACATTCAATTGATTCATTTAACGATCTCTGATGTACTTATATGTATATTTTATTTATATAAAAATTCTATTTATTTTAAACATCTTGTCTATCATTATCACGGTTGGACATATCCAACAGAGCTATATTATATAAAGAAAAAGGAATCAATCACCTGTATTATATGATAATAAAGGAGAAAGACAAAAAAATAAAAACAATATCCTTCTCATTGAACAAATTATATACAATAGATAGATTCAGCATATGTATATATATATATAAATTTGCTTTTTTGTTTCTAGTGAATGAACGAACTTTTGACCTTCTAATGTTGAAATTCATTTTTCTTTAGATTAATTGTTTCAAACACGCACTAAAGTGATGAATGTATATAACTGAAAACAGAACGAAGAAGAAAAAAAAAAGTACACCCATCATGTTTGACATTGATGCTATATATATA